AAGAAAAAAATGAGTACTCAATAAATTACATTGTTTCCCTTTCCAAAACCAAGTATTTTAGTGAAACATACCCTATTTTGGCTCACTACTTTCTTCAAATGTTCCCAGCGCTGGACTGAATTATGACACTTCTGGAATCCTTGCTGAAGGTCAGCATGCATAGGTGACGGGCAGTTAAGGAACTGGAACATTAACTTATGGCCCAAATAAGGTAAATTCCAAAGCTGATTTATGCAATTGATCCTCATTAGAGGGCTTAAAGTTTGCAGATTATTTGGGAGGTAAATACTCATTTTTAAAGAGCTACAATTTTTACAAGATTATATATATATAAAAATATAAATATAAAAAAAATTTATTTAACAATTAATGACCCCCCCCAACATAATAATGACAAGCCAGAAAGCCTTCCTAATGAAATACAACAACCTAATCAGTTTTTATTCCTAGACAAACTGCAAAAAGAGCTTAGGATACATCCCTTGGAACTATATTTTTTTTTAAACTTCATTTAGTTATACAGAAGAAGCAGTATTCCTAAACAGCCCTAAATTTTGAGGGAGTGGTAACTTCCAAAGAAAGAATGTGATACTATAGCATATTGATTTTTAAGTTGACTAGATTTTCTGAATGTCAATTTTTTGTTATTATTCTCACAGTTCCTTAGGAAATGAAGGAAAGAAATTCATAGGGAAAAACAATACATTAATAGACATGAAGGATAAAAAGGACTAAAATAGGGCAGAAAACAGTTATTCACAGTATCACAGATGAAGACACCTAGTTTAATAATTTTTTTAGAAAGGATATATTCAGGGACAAGAGTTAAAATTTTATCCCAGTTCTCTTTATTTTCAAAAATATCTTGACCAACCAGGGCATATTCTTCAAAATATTTTTCTACTATGTTTACTGATTTTCTGTAGGAACAAAACCCACAAATCCATTATCAGTAACATACACACACATATGTTTTGTGTTATTTATTGGGATTAGTAATTCAATTCATCTATTATTCAATTTTCACTGAACTGATGTTTAGATTTGCAAATGTTAATTAACTGGGTTAAAGCCCACAATACTGTAGTGTCAGGAGTAGCCTCACACAGGATAGCAACCTAATCAGCAGTAGCAGAATAGAGAACATAATTCATAGCTTTAATTTTGAGCAATCTGCTTTAATCACATAACAGCATTTTAAAGGACAAAAGTAGAAATTGGCAGAATAAAAATAAAAAAGAATAACACATATGAAGTATGTTTCTATGAAGTACGGTCTCAGAGAACATGAAGAAAATCTTGAATTACACAGCATCTTTTTTGAACAGACCTGATGAAAGGATGAATCTTTGTACCGAGATGAACCTTCTTTCTCATCTCTTCTCCGCCCTGAAAAATAATAAAAAAGAACTGTCTGTGTATTAAATAATATAAGCAAATTTAAAAAATTATTCAAGATGTTCTATTGTTATTATTATTGTTATCTGTGACCATAAGGTTATAAATATACACAAAATTTTGATTATATTATTTCTTTAAATGTGGATGCTTGGAAGCTATTTAACATGCTGTCCCAACACCTGCAGTTTTATACAGTAATTTCACTTGACACAAATGAATAGGAAAAACAAATTAACTTCCATTTTTCCTATAATGCATGCAAGTTTGAAATATCAAATTGTCCCTTAAGAGTTTTCAAATAAAATCAGCTATCATGATTAAAGTTACTCTGGAATAGGATACTCTAAAGGATGTACTTATCATAATAGGCATACTACCAAGTTTTCATTTTCTGTACTCCTAAATATTCCAGGGTTAATAATGTTTGGCATACAAGTAAATTTCAATTGCAGTTAAGAGTACCATACCTTTACAAGACTTAGATATTCTACTATCCCAGAGCGTACTGCTGAGGACAATTTTCTGACAGTTTCATCACAGACCCAGCAATGAACACCTCTCCTTCCAGAATATACCCAGAGGCAATGTTTAAATCCAAAGTCCTCTGTGGGGAGAAAAATTGGGTGTTTTTTCCTCTCCTAATAAATCTACACATACCTTCTTAAAAAGAAAAGCACTGGCCTGTACAATGTTTTGCAAATGGCAATTACTGTAACACTCCATTTATCTATCACATGTTTAAGGATAATAATACATTAGCATATCTTGAGAACTAATGAAAAAAAGATGCTATGGTAGTATAAGGACAGCTAGGTAGCAAAGTGGATAGAACACTGAGCCTGGAGTCAGGAAGACTCATCTTCCTGAGTTCAAATCTAGTCTCAGACACTTACTAGAGGTGTGACCCTGGGCAAGTCACTTAACCCTGTTTGCCTCAGTTTCCTCATCTGTAAAATGAGCTAGAGAAGGAAATGGCAAACCACTGCAGTATCTCTGCCAGGAAAACTCCAAATGGAGTCATGAAAAGTTGATAGACTGAAATGACTGAATAATAACATAGTAGTATAAACTAATGCTCAGAAGAAAACTATTAATATAAATTAAAAAGTTTTCTCTTCTGTAATGAAATGAAATATAGTTCCAGAACCTTCCAACCAATGGAACCCAATGGTTATATTTTCTGGAGCTATGCTGAATAAATCTAATCATTCTTCCACATAAAAGTCCTTCACATATTTGAAAATAACCTCCGGGTTTATTCTTCTTCAGGCTAAACATCCTTACTTCCTCTAATCATTCCTCACATGACACTTTCGAGTCCTCTCACTGTTCTGGTTGCCCTTCTCTCTATGTGCTACAGCTTGCCAGCATCTGTCCTAAAATACGGTGTCTAGAATTCAGAAACCAGCTAAGATACTTTACCTTTTAGAGCTCTGTCTATGATGTGGATGGCCATTGTCATAAGGGTCCAGCATTTGGAACATATATCTGCAGAACTGAAGCAGAGTGACCATTAGTGACTGACTGTGAACAGAACCCCTCCATCCAGCTTTGGGGTGTTTATGTCCTTACCTGCAGCACCTCCTCACATCATCATAGTCTGTCATGTCAATGTCAAACACCAGTTCTTTTTCCTGAGCCTGAAAAGCACCTAGCTTCACTGTATTATGCTGAATGGGCTGTGGACAAGAAAAAAAATACCTATTAATTTCAAGCGAACATTGTTACTTATTCTACTACTAACTACCAGATATAGAATAGTGGCCTGGATAAAATGAAGAAGCCACAAATATTCAGGTTAAATCTGTGAAATCGCATTAATTTGGATATTACAAATTAGGAGTTTGTGATAATTTAATGAGAGTTGGCCTTGTCTACTTTTCTACTATCTATTAAAAACAGGGTTTGAGGAAAATGATAAATGTTGGAGAAGATGTGGGAAAATTGGAGAACTAATGCATTGTTGGTGGAGTTGTGAATGGATCCAACCATTCTGGAGAAAAATCTGAAACTATGCCCAAAGTGCTATAAAACTGCATACTCTTTGATCCAACAATACTACTACTAGGTCTGTATCCCAAAGAGATCATAAAAAAAGGAAAAGGACCTACATGTACAAAAATATTTGTATTTTTTGTGATGGCAAAGAATTGGAAATTGAGGGAATGCCCATCAATTGGGGAATGGCTGAACAAGTAGTGGTATATGAATATAATGGAATACTATTGTTCCATAAGAAATGGTGAGCAGGCAGATTTCAGAAAAACTTGGAAAGACTTGCATGAACTGATGCCGAGTGAAGTGAGCAGAACCAGGTGAACACTGTACATAGTAACAGCAACATTGTGCGATAACCAACTTTGTTAGATTTAGCTCTTCTGAGCAACACAATGATCTAAGACAATTCCAAAAGACTCATGATGGAAAGTGCTATCCACATCCAGAGAAATAACTATGGAGTCTGAATGCAGATGGAAGCATATTATTTTCTCTTTTTCTGTTGTTTTTTGTTTTTTCTTTCTCATGGTTTTCCCCTTTTGTTGTAATTCTTCTTTTACAACATGACTAATGTGAAAATATGTTTAATATGATCATACATGTACAGCCTATACCAGACTTCATGCTGTCTTGGGGAGGGGGGAAAATTCAGAATTCAAAATCTTATAAAAGCAAATGTTGAAAACCAAAAAAAAAAAAACCCCCAAACAAGACACCTCCCCCCTCCCCAATAAAATACTTATTAAGTGCTTACTCTGTTAGAGTAACTAAGTACTGGGAGATGCAAAGTTTAACAGACATGGTCCCTGCCCTCACAGAACTTAGAACCTACTAGCTCATATATGACACCTATATAATTATAATATGAGATAATAATGACAATAACTTACATTTATATAACTCTTTAAGGATTACAAGTACATTCCTAACAACAATCCTGTGAAGCAGATAGTTCAAATATCAAAATATAGTAGCCAAGATGTGAATACAGGTCATCTGACTTAAAATCTAGTGCTCTGTCCACCCTACCATGCAACCTTTCAGTTCTCACTTCTTAATCTCTTAAAAATGGTCTTTCAACTCCACCTGAAGGTTGGATGACACTTTCTAGTGTTGCCCCTTAACTGCTAAATTCAATGTCCTTTTGTCTGTCTTCCTTCTCCTTGACCTAGCTGTTGAAATCATCCAAGGGAAGGATAATAAGGGTCTGACCTGGAGAAGTGGCTATGTTAGTAGGAAGAGGGGACAGATGTGAGAGATGCTGTAGAGGTAAAAACATAATATTTGACAAGTGAGTGATATATGGAGTGAAGGAAAGAGAGAAGGCAAGGTTTCAAACGTGGGTGATGGGCAGGGTGGTGGTACTCTCAATAGAAATAGGGCAGTTTGGATGAAGGAAGGGTTTTGGGAGAAAGGTAATAAGTGCCATTTTGGACATACTGATTTTGAGATGCCTATGGAACATCTATTTGAAATGTCCAAGAGGTCACTGGTGATGCTGGCCTTAAGTGCAGGGAAATTAGGGCTGGATATATAGAGCTGGGAGCCATCACCATGGAGATAATAATTAAACCCTTGGGTGCTAATGAAATCACCAAGTGAGAGAACATATGGAGAGAAAAGAGTGCCTAATACAGAGAACCTTGGAGAATATCCAGTTAGAAGACAAGAGATGAATGAAAATCCACTAAAGAAGACCGAAGAGTAGTCAAAAAGGTAGTTGAGTCAAGAGAAAGCAGGGCCAGGACAAACCAGAGAGGCGAGATTAGGTATCCAGGAAGAGAGGGTATCCAAAAATGACAAATGTTGCAGAGAGGTCAAGAAAGATGAGGATAGAGAAAAAGCTACCAGATTTGGCAATTAAGAGATAACTGGTAACTTTGAAGAGAGTAGTTTCAATTGAGTGAGAAGACAAGGATAATGAAGCTGAGAGCCAGGGAGATTGGAAGGATAGTGGTACCCTCGACAGAAAAAGGTTTTGGGGAAAAGAAAATATACCTGTTTATTTTGTGCTATTTACTCTTTCTCTCCAAAAAATGAGAAGAGTGTGTGTGTGTGTGTGTGTGTGTGTGTGTGTGTGTGTGTGTGTGTG